CTCAGAGAGGGCACGAGGGTTTTGCCGCGCTCCAATGCACTGCGCGCAGAAAACTTGCTGCGACGGTGCATTGAAGCCGCCGCTGACGGAGGAATGGAGACCCCAGCGGCCGGGGACCTCACTCAGCGGGAACGCAAGCCCCAGGCGGGAGCAAGGACCACGGCCCCCTCCCAAGAATAAAAAGCCGTAAGTGAGAAAACTCGCCGTGCTGTCGTGACAGCGGGGAAATGGACAGAGCGTGGCCGAGTGGTGCGCTTGCTTTTGCAGCACTTGTGACACCGAGTCTCCTGGACCCCTCCCTTAACCCCAACTCTACTCGGAGCAGAACCGGGTCTCTACGTTCATTTCCGGCTGTCTCCAGAGACTGTATCCTCGCTCCATCCCAGACCCCGCCTTCAAGAGCCCGCCCGGGTGTGGTGGGGGAGGACCTGGGCGCTCAGGGCGGGGGCGCCCCCCACGTGGCCCAGGACAGCAAGGTGGGGCGCGACCCTGGCGGCCCCGGCGAGGCCACGGCTCTACCCACAGCTCCAGCTGACCCCTGCAAGTTTTGATTATTCGGTTTACAATAGCTTCCAATTACTTTGTGATTTAGTCTTTTATTAATTATTTAGGATATTTCTTATTTTCCAAAATAGGGAAATTTCTAGTTTTTATTATTCATTTCTATCTTAATTGGTCGCCCTGTGGTCATAGCGATGTGGTTTGACGTGGGGTTCCCGAGCAAAGAGTCAAGAAAGAATCCTTGAGAGGTTTTTGGTGCAAAAAGGTGGCTTTATTATAGACCCGGGGCAGGACCCTGGGCAGGAGCGGAGCTGGGATTGTTGAGGGGCAAGTGATGATCTGCTTTGGAGCTGGGGGAGGTCAAGACGAAGTTTCCAAAAGGATTTTCGTATGTTAAAGATTTAAAGGATCCTGGAGGCCTAGGTAGGATCGTCTAGCCAAGGTGGTTTTTCCCTCTAGCAAAGCATTAACAGTAAAATCGTCGGGAATTTCTGGAGGAATGTCATACTTGGCCTGCCTCAAGTATTTGTCAATGGGCTGCAAGTTAGAAGGAAATTTAATTTTATCTCATTTATTTTGCCTTTGTTCTTCACATCAATAAAATATATATATTATAGTCTTTATATGTATATTTTTTACTTATTTTTATTTTTTTTAAGATTTTATTTATTTGACAGATCACAAATAGGCAGAGAGGCAGGCAGAGACAGAGAGAGGGGGAAACAGGCTCCCCACTGAGCAGAGAGCCTGATGTGGGGCTCGAACCCAGGACCCTGGGATCACGACCTGATCCGAAGGCAGAAGCTTTAACGCACTGAGCCACCCAGGTGCATTACTTATTTTTAATTTTTAAAGTAAGCTCTACACCAGTGAGGGGCTTGAACTCACGGCCCTGAGATCAAGAATCACATACTCTATCAACTGATCCAGCCAGGCACCCTGGTCATAGAATATACTCTATAAGAATTAAATCCACTGAAATTTATAGCTCACGGTATGATCGCATTTTGTAAATGCTTTTTGTGTATGTGGGAAAAGTATGTATTCTGTATTGGTCATAGGCAATGAACTATATTTTCTACTCATGTTCATCTTCTACATTCTTTTTTTTAAATCTGTTATTTTTTGGGGTCTGTTTGAAATATTGGTTATTGATAGATTTGTCTGTTTTGTCAATTTGTATATATTTTGAGCTTATATTAATGCATAAAGCATAGAATTCTCCTGTCTTCCTGCTGAAATGAACCTGAATCGAACACTTACGAAGTGTTTCCTTTACTGCCAGTATTGCTTTTCATTTTAAACAACGTGTGGTCTAATAGTAATATCAGCTTGCTTTGATTTAGTGTGTAGAAGAAGCATCTTTTTCTGAGTTTCATACTTTATCCTTGTTTTAATGTTTCTTGTAGGGGCACCTGGGTGGCTCAGTCAGTTAAGCATCTCCCTTTAGATCAGGTCATGATCCCAGGGTCCTGGGATCCAGTCCTGCATTGGGCTCCCTGCTCAGTGGGGAGCCTGCTGCTCCCCCTGCTTGTGCTCTGACAAGATCTTTAAATATATATGTCTCTCTTAAATATACATCTCTTTAAATATACATATATATGTCTTTCTTAAACACATATTTGAGATATTTTTAACCCAGTCATACAACCTCTACAGATTAATAGGAATATTTACTCTGTTTGCATTTAATATAATTACTGGTATGTTTGGATTTATATCTACCATTTGAATAAGGTTTCCCTTTTTGTTCTGCCTGTTTTATTTTAAATTCTAGTTAGTTAACTGGTACCTGGGTGGCTCAGTCTGTACAGTGTCTGCCTCTGGCTGAGTTCATGATCCCAGGGTCCTGGGATCAAGCCCCGAATTGGGCTTCCTGCTCAAAGGGGAGCCTGCCTCTCCCTCTGCCCCTCCCCCTGCCCACTCACATGTGGACACACATGTGCTCCCGCTCACACATGCACACTCTCTAATAAATAAAATCTTTTTTAAAAATTTTTAAAAATTCTAGTTAGTTAACATATATCCTCTCTTTTGGAATGCTTTATCATATTTATATTCATAGATTAATATCAAATTATGCATATTAAGATTATACTGATTATAAATACTAATGTTATTCTTATGTTCTATTATGCCAACATTTTCCCTCTATTTTGAAACTGTACCCTTGTTTAATATTCTTTTAGTAATTAACCTAGAAATCCCAATGCCACTACTCGACTTATGAAGACTACTATTAACTGGGACTTTTACCTTTTTTTTTTTAAGTAATCTTGGGCAGCTGGGTGGCTCAGTTGTTAAGCGTCGGCTTTAGGTTTAGGCCATAATCCCAGGGTCCTGGGATGGAGCCCCGCTCCCTGCTGAGCAGGGAGGCTGCTTCCTCCTCTTCCACTGCCCCAGCTTCCTCTTTCACGGTCTCTCTGTCGAATAAAATCTTTAAAAAAAAAAAAATCTTTTTGCCCAACATGGGGCTCAAACTCACAACCCTAAGAGATCAACAGTGGTGTGCTCTACTGACTAAGGCAGCCCAGCACTCCAGACTTTTACCTTCCCAGAAAAAAATTCAGAACTCTTATCACTCTAGTTATTGCCTCCCTCCTTACATGGTTTTCTTCTTCTTCCAGTTCTCTGGGACACATGCCTGAGAGTGGGATTGCTGGGTCACGGGGTAACTAGGTGAGCGCTTTGAGCTACGGAACTGTTTTTCAAAGCAGCTGCACCATTTACGGTTCCACTTTCTCCACATCCTTACCAACACCTGCTGTTGTCTGTTTTATTCTAGCCTTCCTAGAGGGTGGATTTGATTGGCGTTTTCCCAGTGATGGTGAGCATCCTTCCCCGTGCTTACTGGCCATCTGTGTGTCTCCTTTGGAGAAAAACCTATTCAAATCCTTTGCCCCGTGTACAATTAGTTTACTTGTCTTTTTATTGTTGAGTTATAAGAATTCCTTGTGTATTTTGGATAGAAGTCCCTGACCAGAAATAGGATTTGCAAATATCCTCTCCCCTTCTGTGGCCTGTCGGTCCCCTTTCCTGATAGTCAAAATAAAAAATGAGCACCTGGGTGAGACCAACTTCATTTTTGAAGAAAAAAAACACTGCAGATAGAGTCAAAGCTCCCTTTTTCTCACTTTACGACCCAGTTTCTCTCCCTCCCTCCCCAGAGATCACCACTATTCTGAACTTGATCTTTGTAATTCCCTAGTTGTTGATTTAATTGTGTAAAATGCACCTAACAGATCTTACACCATCTCCACCACCTGGAGGTGTACAAGTCAGCAGCACTGAGCACGCCCAACCTGCTGTGTCACTGGGGCCACCCTCCATCTCCAGAATCCTTGTCACCTTGCAGAAGTGAAACTCTATCCCCATCAAACACTCACCTTCCATCTCTCTCTCTCCCTTAGCCCCCTGCACCCACCCTTCTGCTGCCTGTCTCTGTGAGTGATCGGAGGACCTCACAGGAGTAGAATCACAGTATTTGTCCTTCTGTGACTGGCTCATTCCACTTCCCACAAGGCCGTCAGGGTTCATCCGTGTTGCAGCAGAGGTCAGAATCTCCTTCCTTTTAAAGGCTGAACCCGACATTCCCCTGTGTGTGTATTACAGATATATCAGATTTTCCTTGTCCATTCATCTATCAGTGGACACTTGTAATTCTGTGTCTGGCCCAGTGGACGCTTCCACCTCATGGCCCTGCAGTCCCCAAGGACCTCCACCTCCTTGCCTTGAGCTGGTAGAAGGGGACCCAGAACCTGGGGGCGGGGCGGGGGGGTGGGGGAAATGCCCCCAACTCCTTTAGCCTTGGTCCAGGAGTAAGAGACTCATTCCTCACTCAAGATCCGTTGTCAAGTCCTAGATACCTGACTGTATCTCGGTCAAAGGATGGCACACTTGGTCCCTGGCTTTGCATCTCCTCCCAATGCCAACTCTGAGCTACAAACTTGAGCTGTCTCAGCCGTGCCAACCCTAAGCAAACAAAGAGGAGGCAGAATGGGCAAGGATAAGGAAGCAGGCCTCTATGGCTTGATTTCAGGAGCTGGGCTTTATCTACCTGCAAAGGACCAGACAAAAATATTACAGAATACCAGAACAAAAACCAAGCCTTCCAAAGACTCAGATAAAGCCACACATCTTCACGCAGTGGCTAAAAGCAGAGAGGGGGAGACAGAGAGAGAGAGAGAGAGGGAGAGTGCGAGCCCTTCCTTGGGATATGGTTAGACCAGCTCATGGAGTATTAACCTGCATCAGGAATGGAGAGTTGATGGGGTGCTGACTCTGTGACACAGCGTGAAGGTTTGCACAGGTACATGCCTTTCTTCTTGAACTTTCTGAAGTTTCCAAGAAATCTCTGACCCACCAAAAAAGTTGCAAGCCAAACTAAATCTGCTGTAAAATTCCTTCCCCACCTTGGAAGTTGCTGAGTGGGGTCTGAGAAATTCATCACAAGGGGTTTGCTCTTTGAAAAAACTGACCACGTTATCATGCCATTTTGGTTTTGCTTTTCTATTTTGTTAATTACGAAGGCAAGTTTCCCCACCCAAACCCAGAAATCAGCAGTAAGAATAGTAACAAAGGAAAAACCCCTACATCGTATCATAAAAACCTGCGAACACAGGCAAGGTGTGTCTGGGGCAGAGGGAGCAGACAGGCCCAACCACCGAGGGTCAGGTGAAGGTATCAGGCCACGGAGGCTGCCATGCCCTCGGCCTGCTGGCCTCCTCTGGGTCTTCGCCAGCAGGAACACAGCACGCAAACTTCAGTACAAGAGCTGGTAAACTGTGGCACTGTTCTTGGAGCCCGTGACCAGATACTGGTTGTCAGCAGACACATCACAACACAGGACATCTGTCGGCTCCTCTACCTACAGGGAAGAAGGCCAGAAGATCGATTACAGGCAGGGGCCAGGCGTGGGCCACAGATGAAGGCCTCACTTGGGGGCAGTTTCAAGGTGAAGGACAGACTTGAGGTTCAGTCTGGAGACAATGGGGCAGGTCTCGGGGCTCACGGTGGAGCCCATGAGGTCACAGAACCTTGAGTCCCCATTCCCCTGGGTGTAGTAAAGGGCCCCATATACTACCCCAGGGATAGTTTCTGTCACTGTCCTCGGGACCCGACCCACTGGGATCTGGGCCTGTGAGCTCTGAGAGCCTGGGTTTGCAGAGCCCCATGAGCTCTGAGAGCCTGGGTTTGCAGAGCTTTCCTCCCGATACCTGAAACAACCTTTGTAGAGAAGGTGCGGCTATGCAGTGGATCGACTCGTCGATCGCGGTCACAAAGTAGCTCCCTGGCGAAGGAAAGGCAGGTGGAGAAGCCAGAGACCAAGCTTGCATTCCGGGCCCAGGTCCCTCCCCAAGGTGACTGAGCAAAGAGAAGCTCTTCCTCTGGCCCACTGTGCCCATTTAGAAAAACCAGAGACAAGAGCCAAACCATTCCCTCATCTGGCCCTTCCCTCCAGCCCCACAAGGGACAGGGCTCAGTATCACTGCACAAAAGGACAATCACATGGGGCTTCATGCCTTTTCTGCCGGCCCTTGTCTTCAGGCTGCTGTTCTGTGTAGGAAGGAACCGTTACAGGGAGAGTCGGAGAGGAGAGGGATGGGGACAGAAGACATGTAGGATGCCAGGAGATGGGGGGAGAGGCAGCAGTGGGGAAGGGGGTGCAGAGCTGACAGCAGCAGGGAACCAGACACCTGGGTCTCCACTCCGCCAGGCTTGGGGCTGGGGAGGGAAGAACAGAGCCTGAAACAAGGCTGGACCCAGACTCTGCAGAGGACCAGACATCCCGCGGGTGTCAGGGACAGGACTCCTAGAGGGGTCACCTGGCTTCCACTCACCACAGGAGGCAAACTTGAGGTTGTGGTGGTTGACGTATTTATGCAAGACTGCCTTAAACTTCTCCGGCCGGTGTGTGTGGAGAATTATGATGTCGCTTGTTCTCAGGCCTACCAGCACCCACTCCTCAGTGGGCTCGTGGGTAATGCTGAGGATCTGTTTGGAAGGAGGACCGGCGTCAGCGGTCCAAGCTGTCTACACGGTCATTCACACCCCGCCCCCCTGTGGAACTCAGGCCCCTACTCCCGGCCACGGGGACCACCCGCAGCCCACTGGGGGCTGCCAGACACCTCATGCCGTAACTCGTGCTCCTGCAACCTCTGGTAGCTCCTCAGGTCCCAGGAATAGAGTCTGGTGTCTTCACCTCCTGTCCAGAACTTATTGCCTGTGATGTCCACGCAGCGGGACCCATATTCAGGGACCTCATGCTTCCTGGCAGGAGAAGATCTCCGAGGTTCACGCACTGTCTCAACACCAGGACGTTTCGGGCCCAGGAAGCCCCCACATCTAGTCTCCGCACGGACTCACCGAGCCCTACTGCACAGATGGGCGAGGGAGGTCCAGAAAGGGACACGAGCCTTCCCAAAGACCTCACCGTCCAGCCCTCCCCGGGGGCGTACCTGATCAAGATTTGGTTCTGCAAATCCCAAATCTCGACAAATCCTTTGAAACACGCCAAGCAGATCTGGGCATTGGAGGAGAGCGCCAGGGAATAGCACAGGGGGCCCGTGGAGGCCAGCTGGGCCCTGACGCGTGGTGTGGGCGCCAGATCCCACAGGGTCAGGCTCCGGGACAGACCCCCGGTGATGAGGCACTGCTCGTCCGGGAACAGCTTGCAGGCCAGGACACAGTTCTGGTGGTCCTGCAGGAACAGTCCCCGCCCTCACTTAACCTCCTCGAGGGCCAGGCTCCAAGTCACACGACAGAGGTCACGTCTAGGTTCCCCCAGTCCTTCCCGAACACCCCTCACCTGCAAGTCCAGCTGGGCCTGTGGGGCCTTGCTGAGGGCATGCAGGGCGCTCTCGTCCCAGACCTTAATGTAGCCGTGGCCACACGTGTACACGTGGTGAGTCGAGCTGCTGATGGCCACAGCGTAGACTTTCTTTCCGTGGCGGAGCCTGCCAACCTTCCAGCACTGCCGGGGGACCCTCTGCCTGACCACCGCTTCATTGGGAACAGGCGGCTGGGGAGAGGAGAATGCAGGTGCCCATCAGAGGGCACAGTCCTTGCCTGCCATCGCCCACGGGCGGCCACCTGCCCGGTCCTCTGACTGAATTCCTGAGTGTTCACCCGAGGTTCTGAGACAGCTCTATGCATCAGCATTGACAACAGGGTCCGGCTCAGACACCCCCCACTCCCGACACAGCTCTAGAAGAGGAGACACTGTGAGCCAAAGGCCCCACACAGTGGCAGTGAGAGCCTGGCAGCCAAGTTCAAAGGCAGCAGGGAGCTATGGGAGAGAATCCAGGCACACCGCATGCCCTCCCCTTTCCTTACTAGCTTCTCTTTTGGGGAGGAGTGGGGAAGGCAAAGATCCCAAGTGTAGAAAAAATAAGACACTTACAATTGTCCTGAGGAACGACCAGACTTCTTCACTGGGCGGAGGCAAGGGGCAAGGCTGGCCTGCAGGGAAATATCAAGGCCCACCGGCTCACGGAGAGGGCGGCCCACAGCAACAGGACCACGGAACCCAAGGAGAAGTCTGCTTCCCCGACACCAGGCTTCACGCCTCGTCCCCCGAATCCGAGGCCCGGCCTGGGGCTGCCACCTTCCCTGCCCACGCGTCCAAGCTGGGACTTACCAAACTTGGGTCCTGGCAGGAAGCTATGACACGTGGATGAAGGGTAGGGGGACACAGTGTGATCTGGAGAGCTCAGTGCCAGGATCTCCTCTCCCCAGGACAGCTCCCGCTCCCGCTCCCTCCCCCAGTCTGGTTCAAGCAACACCTACCTGGGGTCCAGCTCTGCGGCTGCTTCTGGCTCTGCCTGGGGGAGACAACTGGCCTGGAGCTCAGATCTGCCCAGAGTCTGGAGGACCCACTGCTGTGGGGTCCCGGCGCTCATCTCCTGACAAACCAGGCCACGCTGTGTCAGGAAACCGGGGCCCTGCTGGGGCATTCCATACACCCCCTCTGGTTGGGACTGTGTTTGGTGCTCACACTGGGAGGAAATGCCAGAGCTTTCGGGCACGTTCCTCATCTCCTCTGGCTCATCATAAATACTGAGTATACGAAACAACGCCTCATCCTTCTCTCTACTCATGCTCTCAGATCAGTGCAGTCCCCTCGTCACCCGGTTCTAGGGCTGTTCCAATAGTGTCCGGGCAGCCAGTTCGTCCTGAGCTCCTGCAGCAAGAGAACAGACGCAGATACAGGCATGGGCCCTGCTGGGGGTCTGTTTGCAAGGGTCTGAGAACACTGTGTTGCCAAAAGGATGCCAAAGACTGGCTGCTGACCAGTGTTTTATCCTACATGTTGGCAATGATGGTGTTAAGGGCGAAAGTGTCACACAGACATTTCGAGATGTTAGTAGCAGGTGTTTGTTTTTCCTTTCAGACCCACAGATGACATTTCCAGTCCTACGCAATCCAAGTCACCCTTTAGTCTAGCACCGTACCTCTCCACGGAGGACTCATGCTCAGTGTGAACATGGGGCAACTCTGCTCGTGTCACAGGCTCCTTCCCTGCCTTGAGGGGGCAGCGTAGGAGAACCGAGAGGCGTGCGGCAAACATGAGGTTCCGTTTGGATGGAGCTAGGCCCCACCATGACCGAGGGGCTGGCTGGTGGGGCTATTCGTCTCTCCTACCCTACGGGGTAATTCTGAGGAATGAATGGAATCACGCAGGTAGAATACACAGAATTCTGTACGGTAGCGGCAGCCCAGTCACCAGCAGCGAGTGCATTCATCTGTGGACTGTGCCGGGGACCAGAGCTTTGAGGACGTTAAGGCAGACCACATGCCTTCTCCCTCCAGGTCTCCCAACGGGGAGCCCCAGTGTTCCACAGTGGAGCACAGCAGCTCAGGGACAAAACGAAGGGATCTTCCCAGGGAACAAATGCCGGCCGACCAAGCTCAGTCCTTGCTCGGAGACCCCACGCTCCCCACATGCACCGGCAGTCACCCCAGAGTCACCCCAGGGACAATGTCGGGCAGCTGTATCACCACTACTCTGGACGCCTCGAGCTCTCTCACTCTGCGTCTGGCCTTGAACTAAACACTTGACACAGGTGATCCCACAGCATCCTCCCCACATTTTACATATTTTAAAAACTGAAGCTCAGGTGAACAAATAACTAGAAAACACGAGGAAAAGGTTCAAATCCACCTCCTCCTCCCTGCCCACCCTGCCCAGTTCTGGCTCTGGACGGTCTCCTTCCTGCCTCCCCCCAGAAGGAAGACAAAACAGCCGCTTCTTCAGCCACTTGATTCTTCCCTCTAGGACAAAAAAAACCCAAAAGCAAAAACGGTACAAAGGGCGTTGCCCTCTGACCTAACACTGAAGTCCAGGCAACAGGAGGCTCTAGCCGCAGCGCTGGCCGGGACAGCAGGTGATTGGACAAACCCCCGTCCACGGGAAAGGACTAATGACAAACCCCGCAGCCATGGGGAAGGGACCAGTGAAACATTACAGGACCTGCATTGCCTGGAATACAAAGCCGCTGTGAAAAATAAGGACACAACCTGGAGGACCAGGAAAATTCCCAGGTGGGTCTGTGCGGGGAGGGGTGGATCCAAGGTTCCGAACAAAGTGCCTAATACGCAGCTTTGGTGTGAGAGGAGGATGGCCATTAGAACCTGTCTTTGCATATGTTTGTGTGCACCTAAGAACCTAGGAGGAGGAGTTGCCTTTGGGAATGCAAATTGCCACTCGGGCAAGAAGAGCGGGAGGAAGATGGGTCTCTGCCCAGCTTGGGATCGTTTCTGCACAGGTGTGGCTCTTTGAACCTAAATTTAAAATCGCTAGACCTGGAGTCTTTTTCTCGACCAAATCCTTCTTTCTCATCTTCCCCAAAGGACAATTTGGGGTCCTCATGATGCCTACGTACTTGTTTAAAAATTTTAACAAATTTACCCTGACATGCATCAGGCTCCTCGAAATGGGCCAATTCACAGAGCAACAACCCCCCCCCCACCCACAACCGCCCCCGCCGGCCAGTGTGGTGAGGATGGGCAGGAAGGGACGAGCAAGCGGCCCTCAGGTGAAGCTTAAAGGCAGTGAGGCCATTTAGCCAGGATCTCACATATGAGGAGGATTTCACCCTAAGAGTAAGACAAGGCTTTCTAGAAAGAGCAGAGGGAAGAATCAACATCACTGAAACCCCCTCTGTTCTCGCCCTGGGAGCTGGAAATGCAGGGACCCCTCCCCTTACCGGCAAGCTTCAGTACAAAATGTTAGTTGCGGGGGACGGGGGGTGTTGGGGGGGAACGGGTCCCTCCTGCCGGCAAGTTAGGCCCTCACCAATCCCCCCACTGGCAGGAAACTCACCCTTGAAGGTAGAAGGTCAAAGCCAGAGACGGAAAGGCCGCAGAACTGAACCCGCGCTGGGACCCTCCCTCCCACGCCCAGGTACAGCCTTCTCCCCTGCAGGGCTGCTATTTTTAAACCTTAGCTTAATTGATAATCAAGCCCTGGGTCAGAACCTGGGGCAGGTGTCTTCCGGGGCGTGGCCACCACTGGCCTCTTCCTATTAGCCCCCCCCCCCTCCCGTGGCCTTGGGAGAGGGATGGGATGGGGGTCCGCCGAGGAAAGTCAAGGGCAGGAGGCAAGATGGAGAGAGAAAGTTAAGGGCTAGGTCTTAGGCCCCGGCTCGGGCCGGCCCCAAGAGCCAGTGTTTGTGGAGAGACAGAGAGCTGCTTGAGCTGTCCCCAGGAGGGGGGTGCAGATTCTCATCTCCAGGTGCACCCCATTAGGGTGAAGCCTGGCTTGGGCTGAGGCTACTATGGGCTACGGAGGGAGGGGAGGGGGGCCACCTCTGCCGCCCTGAATGCTCCTGGCTCTGTGACCCTTTGTCTTTCACCAGTGTCTCGAAAGGGAAGACCAGGGAGGCCTTTGGCCTCAGTGGCTGTCTTACCAGGCCAGGACGGTTTCAAATTTGAGCACCTGAATCCCCTGGAGTGCAGGACCCACACCAGAGACCCTAATTCTGTTGGTGTGG